TACCATTCGATCCATGGGGGTGACAGTCCTACGAATGTGCCGACATTGTCGAAGGACAAGGACAGGACAAGTTTGTGCAAGTGTGGCGAGACTCCCGTAGTATTGTTTAGTAAGATTCATTTAAAAATGACCATGTAAGACGTCTATAACGCAGAAATTATTCACCTCATGTTGTTTTCTCATTGTTATGTGTCCCTGTAAACACAGCGTTGTATGCAGGTGACAATGCTACGTACACTTGCAATGAAGTCGGTATCCTAAGAATATCGTAACGTCTTTGTGTTTCCTGTTGCAGTGCAAGTTTGCCGCTGCCCCGCGCGTTAGGTATTCCCCCCTGTTCGCCTCCGCGCGTGCCCGGACACTCCCTCGCGTGTCCGGGCGTTAAATAGTAGGACCGTCAGGAACTGAAACAATTGTTTGTATTTACTTACTCACCTGCATTTGTATCAACAGCTAATAATTTTTTAATATTTATTTTCTAGAGCTGGAGTGATATTTTTCAGGAGAGGAGTGAAGGGTGTAGATAAAAAGACAGGAAAGGAGATTAAATATGATTATGAAAGTAGAATAAATGGTGCTATCTTTCCAGCATTACAAGGTGGTCCACATGAACATGCTATAGGGGGTGTTGCAGTGGCTCTAAAACAGGTATTTATATTTCCCCCAACAGTGTCCATGATACTTCTATTATATATACTTATAAGTATATAATACAAATCACTAATACATTAGTCATTTTGGTATTAAACTGGGAACAAATCCAGGCATATTATCCTGCTATCTTACCCCCGTAACATTCAGATGTTTATTTGTATCACAGGCAATGTCTCCTCAGTTCAGGGAATATCAAACGCAAGTACTGAAGAATGCCAAGGCATTAGCTGACAGTCTTATGAAATTATATGGATGGGACCTTGTATCAGGTATTAAAGTACTTTGGTAGTTATAAAAATTATTCAACTTTATCTCAATTATTTTTCTTCATTAATTAAAAATTAAAATGAAAAATCAGATAACTACATTTGTTTTCATGTTTTGCCTTCCAGGTGGAACTGACAACCATCTTGTTTTAGCCAATGTACGTCCTCTCGGTGTTGATGGTGCACGAGCTGAAAGAGTATTAGAATTATGTTCTATCACTGTTAATAAAAATACAACACCTGGTGATAAGAGTGCTCTTAATCCTGGTGGTCTTAGATTAGGTAAGGACGTATACTAGAAAGAAACCATTGTATAAATGCTCTTAGGTTAGATATGAACACGTACTAGGTCTTAGGAATTCTTTTACTTGACCTTGTCAGACATTGTTCAAAAACAGCAACTTGCGCTTGGTTTCATCAAATAGTTGGTCAAACGTCTTTTCTTGGACATGCTTTGACTGATTATGTTCAAAGTTGGTTTTCATATGCCTGTCTATTTGTTGTCACCCAATACAACAAGTCATCTGTTTCTCTGATATTCCTGGTCTAATTTTCCAATTTCGAAAAAGCCCTGGGGTATTTGTTTTGATGAAATCTCGACATGAAATTTTGACATGTCATCTTAGAATAGCTTCTAACGCTGTAGAAATTTGATGAAGAAATGTCCCATTTCAGACAACAATAGTTTTAAATCTTAAGTGATTACATGTGAAAAAAATTGTGCAAATATTGTTAGGTGTAGAGTGCAAATTGGAGTTTCGTGATTCTATCATACAAATGTACATGTAGCTGTCCACATCTTTTAGGTTAAAAAACATGATTTTACCTGCAACTCTTTTTACTTTGGAAGACCTTGCTAAGTATATATTAATTTCTTTTTAGGGGCCCCAGCGCTAACTTCTCGTGGTTTCAAAGAATCTGATTTCCGTGAAGTGGCAGGTTTCTTAGATCGTGGTGTCAAAATCACACATGATGCCAAACAGAAAACTGGTAAGTTTGCTTTTATTTTTGTTATACATATCATCTTCATCCCAATATTATTAACTGACTATAAGATTTATGATATTATTTTGAAAACTTTTTTCTAGGTAAATTGAAGGAATTTCGTGAATTTATCATGAAAGATGATGCCATCTTACAAAAGATGCAAGGACTGCGCACAGATGTTGAAGATTTTGCAAGACAATTTCCCATGCCTGGATTTGATGAGCGTTGATGATCATATCATCACACTAATACATGACAATCCACCCTGTGGATAAAATTTATCAAGTTGTAAACAAAAGATCTTTCTTCCAATATTTTAAGATGCCATTATCTTACCAGAGGTAGTGTTGATCAACAATCACTGTACTTGAAGAATTCAAAAATGAATTCAAAGTGAACTAGATGCTATTGCATCTAACACAACTTCAATACATTGATAGCCATAATTTCTAACATGTATTTCTAATGTTATTGAGCTCAAACTGAAGGGAATTTCGTACAGTGTTTGTCAATAACAGAATGACTGCCATCTATTTTCAATTTTTAACCTAAAACTAAAAAAAAAAAGTTTTCATGAATATTAGCAAGCAAATAAAGGTATCATCTGTATTATCATTTACACATTATTCATTGTTATGTTCGTACAAATTGTTAATTCACCTTATTGGTAACAAGATTAGGATTATTCTATTGTGAAAGGTAAATAGAGCTTCCATTTTAGCAATAAATTGATGTGTGCGTCTTCTGTTGTACTTCCCTGATGTACGAGATAAAAGTGCGCTATCAGTATTTCACATTCCATTCTTGTAATGATGGTAATATAACACCTTGAATATACATACTTGGTTTTTGCTGTTTGTATATCTGGTTACTGTAAAATGACTTGTGGGTTTCACTGGGTTTAAATTTCACTGATTTAGCATTTCAGGCATATTCAGTGGATTTTAAATTCACGGTTTTATCATTTAGATAATGTGTTCTATGCCAAATTTTACATATTCACTGGGTTTTAATTTAGTGCATTTTTCAGTCAGCAAAATATGCAAAACCTAAAACCCAGTGACAGTATACAACTGCACTATTTTATTTTTGAACAGAATGTTTAGCAATCAGTATATTTCTACATGTCTTTCATTGTTCTACTGTGACATTTCAGTATTAAATCTTACCGAGATACACTGTAAATTGAATATTCCTTTCCGACACACATGGGAATACTTCACATTTTATTGATATTGTAATGTGTATTGCTATTGAATACAAAATATCATCTTAGTACATATTGTACCAAATACAAGTGAAGGTTTGAGCCGTGTTACAAGAAATCATTTTGCATTGGCCTAAATTTTATCAGCTACTGTAACAATAATATGTATAAAGACTAGGAATTTTAACTGGAGCGAAGATTATTCAACTTTATGATAATGTTTCAGAAGACGATTCTTGTACCTGTGAGATGTTTTTCAAAATAATGTTACAAACCAGTTACTAATGACCAGATTGGTATTTCTCATCAATAAATATTCTACCAGTAAAATTTTGTGCTAAATTTCTCAGTCTTGTAAGGAGTGTTACCTGATTATGATATTCCACTGAACACTATTTCTACATACTAGTAGTTTGTATTGGATACCAAAACTCCACAAGAAGTTTTTAGCAGGGTCCAGTTGATGTACAACCAATCTGTTATCACAATTATTAAGAATGGTTGTGATCAATATTGTGATACTCTTCATGAAAATAGATTAATTAAATGTGGATTTTTCATGTATTTTATTCTGAAGGACACAAGGAGAGCAGCTTCATACATTGATCTGTTCCTCCGAATAAAATCTAAGCTGTATGGCAAGTGGGACTCAATTTTCTGTATATGGTGTGAGCCTGTATGTCATAAGACGATTTTCGAGTAAGGCAAAGCTCGTTAAGCAATGTTACCTTGATTACCTTGAAAGTCGACAGCATTCCTGATTACAGCTCTATAGATCACTTTTGACTTGCTGAGATTAGATCTTTATAACAAGACCAATCACTAAGATATGCCTACTCACACCTGATACCACCGTTGAGACGTCAGTGGTTCATGGTTTTCTATTTTGTTAACAGTGATTAAGTGATGGACCTAGTAATCATGTGTGGCTTTGTAAGGCATTGAACACTCCTATTCCCTTGTACCCACTATTGACTCAGAATAACTTGCTAGTGTTCTCAACATCTAGACTGGTTCTGGCACAGATCTGAACGGAATCTGGTTCCATACAGTTTGGCACAGATTACATGCTGGCCTTCTCAAGCCCGAATTTAAGTGATCGGTATCTGTATTGAAAGCTTGTACGGGATCTGTACAGTCAGTCGCACACATTGCTACACCCTCAGCCTTCTGGAAATAAGCCAACAGCAAACATAACCAACCAATATAAAATCAACACACTGCATTGTGGGAAGTACATGTATACCCCCTTCGCTCACCACCCCCTGTCAATGACATCCCCTCACAGGATGTTGCCAAGAGATTAGGTGAAGGCAAAGGCAACCAAAAAGATGATATTCTTCTATGTGAACCTGTGCTAAAAGATTCAGGCGAGCCATGACGGGTAGTAGGTCACCCTCAAACATGAAGTCTTTCAAGATAATTACTGCACAAGCTATCAGGCAGAATGCCAAATACAATCTTTTGGTGACCCTGTATCTCAAGAACGCATACCTACACATACCAATGTACCCAGCAAGCCAACGTCTGTTGCAGTTTGTAATAGAAGGAACGACATACCCATGCTTGGAACCACTAGAGTTTACGAGGATGTGCAAGGTGAAAGTAGTTCAACTCCACATGCTGGGCATCTAGGTACGGTATACCCATACATAAACTGGTTTCTCCAGTATCAACTAAAGGAGACAACAGAACACATACAGTACAGTCCTCTGGCATTCCTGAAATTGTTGGGTTTGTAGTCAACCTGGGCAGTTGGGCATGGAGATAGACACTGCAGCAAGGGTATTATGGCGCAACAGAATCAAGGCATGATGAAATCATTGGGCGATCTGGTTCCTCATTCAACATTGTGCACCAGAGCGGGACATTCTGTCCATAATCAGGTGCAGATACCAAGAGAGTCCAATTCCTTCTAGTCAGCCTGCCTGACAAACTTAACAGGAGTGTCAGCTATCTTGACGTAAACAGGCAAGAAACTTCTAACAAAATTTGTCACTGAATGGGTTGATGGAACAGATGGAAACTAGCTTTAATTAAGCCAGATTACAACCAGGAAAAAATAGGCCAATGGCCTGTTGCTCAACGGCTATTGTACAAAAGATTAGTGCTGTATATGACAAATACCCCAAAAGGCAGTGAGTGAGACAATAAAACATAATGCTAAAAGTGGAATTTTTTACAAAAATAACAGAAATATTCAATAAAATTAGAATCAAAGAGAGCTTAAAAAGAACTCCAGCGTGTTGAGAGAATAACATAACATGATATTTGCAATTATCTGAATTCGTAATACATGTATATACCAAGTTTTGTTGAAATATGTTGAATGGTTCCTGAAATAGCACCCAAATAGCTTGAATTTCACTAGCTGATATG